AAAAAAAAAAAACAAAAAAACCAGGTTTACTCTTCCTTTTCTAAACACTGCATCTCGGAGTCTTCTTTTGATACTATTACTGAAACAGTCTCCTTACCTGCCAGGCCCCTGTTGGTATTATTTGGAAAATAAATATGTTTTCACAATTGTTTGAAGATACAATGGTAACTGCTAGAAAAAGTTACATGTAATTTTATACTACTTACTCAGTATCATATTTAAGGCCAAAATCAGACAGATCTTCATTTTCAGAAGTGTATTTGTCATAACATTCATTCATCAAGGACTGAAAGGATGAATGGACCTTGCACGTGTTGTTGCGGACTTTTAGTTGACGGACTCTGGGGACTCCTAAAAGTATGTTCTCATAGTAGATGCGACTGCTGTTCTTTAAGTCATACAAACTCTTGTTATTGTACCATGAGTCCCAGTACAGGCCTTCCAAAAGGGGTCCTTCCATAAACTTCATATAGAAAAATAAATGTTATGGGAAAAATATTTCATGTCAAGTGTATAACAGAATCTACATTCATAATGTTATCCATAAGAATATAAAAATCAGTGATTTTAGCCAAGCTACCATTAATAATGGTAATGGTAAATGATGATGTTGATGATGATAACGAAAATGGTTAACATTTCTTGAGTACTTACTATGTACTGCTCTAAGCACTTTACGGGTATTAACTCATTTAGTCCCATAACCCTTCTTCTCCGAGAGGTATACTGAAAACTCTCCCCCAATACATGAATATCAGGACTGGTCATAGCCACAATTCATGGCTTCACCTCGAAGTTATCTGTGTCCCCCCTTTCCTCTCCAACTCTGGTGGTGGTGACTGCTTCTTCTGTCTCTGTCACTATGTGCTCCTTCTAAGAGATCCTAAGCCTAGGGTTCATTTTTTTTCTTTCCTGCCTTTGTCTTATTTGCCATTGGCCACATACATACCTCAAGACAGCACAGTAAAAAAGAAGCAGTTGGGCTCCACTTCTTGTCTCAGGGAAAATTTCCTATCATTCTTTCATATTTCACTTGGCCTAAGCCAATGACTTCTAATCATTTGCCTTATCTCACACTTCTCTCACTCTCAGGAAATGACATTGTCTCCTTGATAAGTTTCAAATTCCTAGCATGGCATTCATGATTAGACCTCTGTTCAATTCATAGTTTGGTCTTTTCCACCTCATCTCCTATATTCCTATAATGCCAAAACATAGTTCCACATGATGCATTACTTATAGTACATATCGTTTTTTCTTCCTAGGATGGTCTTCTGTTACTCATCATTTAAAACTCAACTGAATTGTGATCACCTCTGGAAAGCCTTCCCTACCTCTTCCTTGTATGTCCCAATGTTTGTGACATAGGATACCTGAAACTGCTGTTCCCTTAATTGTTCTTTCCTCATAATGTGAACATCTTGCTAAGTTAAGTGTAACAAAAAAAACAAGTCTATTCTAATGCTAAAGGAATGATACTCTTATGCAATTAAAAACACTATAAAATTATATTTTGTAAATGTACTCTTTATTATATACTGTACATTACTGTAACACACACACAAGAGTATAGGCCTGTATACCAAAATCACATATATTTTAATTTATGGGCAATTTAAGGAATTTTTTTTTTTTTTTTTTTTTGCGGTATGCGACCTCTCACTGTTGTAGCCTTTCCTGTTGTGGCGCACAGGCTCCAGACGCGCAGGCTCAGCGGCCATGGCTCACGGGCCTAGCTGCTCCATGGCATGTGGGACCTTCCCGGACTGGGGCACGAACCTGTGTCCCCTACATCGGCAGGCGTATTCTCAACCACTGAGCCACCAGGGAAGCCCAATTTAAGGAATTTTTAACGGTAATTTTCACTGTATACAATTTTAGACTGACTTTGGATCCTAACTCCCACATAAGAAATCTATTTCCCAAATGCAACGATAATGTTAAAAAAACAAATAATCACTTTTTCAAAGTTACAAGAACTCTATCACACTGAGAACACAGGTTCTCAATAAACACTTAGTGGTTGATTGATTCTAATAGTTTAAAGAAATGACATTTTTATTCATTCCTTCAATAAATATGTATCAAGTGCCTACTATGTGTGCCAAGGGCTTGTTTATGCAATGCCTAAAGCTACTTCATCCACAGTCACATGACATCTTACCTTCCAAAAGTCAGTTATGCTGCGAATAGACTTAAAGTTGATTCTTTCTTCACCATGCACAGACGTGTCCAAAAATAGAGATGACATAACTTTGTTTAAGTAATACATATGTGGGTTTACCATCCCAAAAGTCACTAAGGAGAAGAATTTTTTGTTTAAAAATTTACATTTAAAAACACAATTTTTATCAGGATTAAAAATGTACTTGTAATTTGTTCTCAATTTTGTTTTGAAAATTCAATTTTATTTTTCTAATTATAAGAGCAATAATAAAAAAACCTAAAATAGAAATATACAAAACAGGAAGAAGTTTCCTGTAATCCCACTGCTAGAATTAGGTTTGGCATATATTCTTCAGATTTTTCTAAATGCATAGACACTTACAGAGAAAATAACTTTATTTTTATAAAACTGAGATCACATTATACATACTATTCTGCAAGATGGGTTTTTTTTCCAATATTGAGAGTAGGCAACATAATATAGTGAGTAGTTTAGGCTATGAACTTTAAAATCAAACAGATAATGGTTTGAGTCCCACCATAGGGATAATATCTCCTACCTCATAGTTTTGTTATGAGAAGTAAGTGAGATAATTCATGTGGAACATTTAAAACTATGTTTTGGCACATGATAAGATTGAGAAGAACATTAACTAGTATTCTTTCTCACTCTTCCTAGGGGTGGGTGGGTGCGTTTTAGAGCAGGGTATATACTAAATATGTCTTTTTTTTTTTTGCTAGAAGGCCTTTATTTTTAGAAATAATATATCTTCAACATCATTCCATGGCACACATAAGCCTATGCCATTCTTTAACATTGCATAGTATTTCACTGTATATACCGAAAATTAAACAAATCCTGTTGGAGATTTGTTTCCAATTTTTCCTAATTATGAAAAGGTGTTTTTTAAAAAAAATCCCTGAATAATGGGATTATGAGTAATCTTTAAATATTTTTCCACTCCCCAAATGGTTTGTAATAAGCAGTTAAAAAGCAATCTAAAATATCTTAATTTATAAGGTTGGTTAAAGCTGTCTTTTTAATCCAGATCTGACTCAAGCTCACCCCTACAATACCAATTAATTAGTTAAGCGATATATAATTGCCACTATGTATGCTGTACCAACATAAGTCCAGTCAGTGAGCTTGCATCTACTATATGTTGGGTGCTGTAAAGACAAAATGCTCTTTAATACTGATTAAGTCAATGATATTGACCCACAGATAGGAGGAATGTAGGTTGAGATGTTTTCCTGGTTCTCCCTAAAGATCTGCATTGATTCATATCTTCTGTGACTCAGAACTAGCATATTTTACTATTAACTCTGCAACAGGCCAGGGAAAAGAACAAAGCAGACATCAAGACTAACTTCTTAGGCCTCATTTGTAGTTTGACCTATGAAACTAGAGCAAAGCTAATGTATCTGTATCGCTCTAAAAGAAATCAAGAATTGGCAACTCAAGGGAATAATTATATTCAAGACAGAACTGCCAACAGAAAGGAATAATTAATTAAATCAGTGTTGACTATGAAAGCTTTTTATTACTTCTGTGACCTAAAGTTGTGCCCCTTAAGAATTGGAAATAATGTCAACCTAAATGAATTTAAGATGTTTAAAATGTGTCACTATTTTTTGAGGGGTTTCAGTAGTCTGAAAGCGTATGGTTTTATAAAATCCATATGTTTTGTTTTTCATCTGCACATAACTTCTTAGTTCAAACAGCGTCTTCATCTACATCTGTGTACTTACATATACATAAGTTTATTAAAAAAATAAGGTAGAGTAAGACCTCCTGAAGTGTGGTTCTCATTTCTACTTCCTTTCTGTAATGCAGCTTATGTTTTGGAGTTCCTGTGAGATATAAAACAAAAATTTTCCTTAATTTATAATATATATAACTAATAGGGATGGAAAAACACAGGCGCTTTTAGCTGTTTACACTGTGTGAAGGAAAGCTCCAATGGCTTCTGGTTATGTTTTTACTCTCACTTTTATGAAGAAGGACTAATTACTAACATTTTCCCATGGTGATAGTGGGCAATCATTTTATGACCGTATATAATGAATTTTATAACCCGGATGTTTCCTCACCAGTCTTGTTTTAAAATGAAAAAGCAAAATACAAAGCAAACAAAACCCCCTCCTCTGCCCCTAATCGTTTTCTCCTCCTGTTAACTCTGCTTCTTGGGATGGCTGGCTCCTGCTGGAGGGGGTAAAAGGACTTAGCCTGGGGTTCTGCCAAGGCCACTACTCCCTAGATCAACAAAGGCTTTCTAAGGCCGGCCTAGAGAAGGCTACTATACAGCATGTGGCAGCGCCCAGCTCCAGCTTCCGGCAAGGGGCGAGATGTTCCCTCAGGGCTTCACTTTTCCTGTCTGTGAAATGGGTCCACAGTTCCTCTCCGCTTCTCAAGGGGAGTCTGCGACGGCTAACCGTTCTGGAGGTCATCTCTCACGTGAATACACGTGGGGCTACAGACTTCCTTGCAGGATATTTGCAATAGCCCATTCTGCTCTGCCCCACCCACTCCCTAGAGGAACCCCTCACCGCCTAGGTGCCACCGGGACGCCTCAGCCATGGCAAACTTGGACGACAACGCCCGTTCCGCCGGCGGTGCCTGCGCGATACTCACACGGTGCGCGCCTAGCTCATGCGCCTGCGCGAGCCCCAGGCTCCACGATGGGAACAAGCGGCGCTAGAAGATGCCAGCGCGCCTGCGCACCGAGGCCTTTACGGAAAGGCTTTGCGTGAGGCGGGCCTGAGCGTGGTGGCGTTTGTCTCCTGCGGAGGACCAACTTCTAGGGCAAACCTGGCTTTAGGCCTGGGGTTAATCATAAAAATCGTAGTAATTAATCATAATGGGCTACCCATTCTTGACTTTTAACATCTTTTGGCTTGTTTAGTCTTCACACCGCCCTTTCCTGAAAGGTATGTGTTTTGTCCTCGTTTTAGACCTGAAGAGACTGAGGAGAATAAATTACTTACCAAAGGCCCGTTGGGGCAAGGTTTGCTCGACGCCAAAGCCCGAATTTGTAACCAAGACCCCACTCCGCCGCTGCAGCTTTTAGATACTGATTATTAGTAATCGAGAGCTGTTGCTGGAAATAGCTTCCACCCCTCTTTCCACCCAATATGGCTTAAGAGAACGTTGAAATAGATTAAAAAAAAAAAAAAGTTCTGCAGTGATAAGGTAAAAGCGTAGCCCAAAACAGTAGTCTTTGGGAGCCCAGACTCACATCTGACCCAGCAGCTTTGCAAAAGTGAGAAGGTTTGTAAACCAGCTATAGAAAAGGCCAAATTTGGTTGTAAATTAAGGCATCCATAAGCCCGCCAGAATATGAGGGGGGGAGGGGGGCAGGGATTCTTAGGTTGGTAAAAAGGCAAATAAAAAAGGAATTCAGTGGAAAGCCCCAGGGTAGCCAGCTAAGAAACCCTTCAAGCTGTTTTGAAAGTAAAAGATAAAGCCACTTCTTTTATTTCTCAGAAAGAGATGTAGGGTGATGTTGATAAATGCTGTTTCATGTCAGGTAAAAAGGAAAACTAGGCCACATAGCAGCGAGGGTCAAAGACTACCAATGATAAAACGAATAGGAGAGGTGTAGCGAAAGGCCAGCAGCCAGTGGAGATGAGACCTGAGAAGAAAGGGCTACTGGCCTAGCTTAAGAATAGTTTAATACAAGGATTTGCCCTTTCCTGTACTTGGACTCTCAGAGGCTGGCAAAATTGTTTTCTAAAGTAGTAGGTTATCTGAACTAGAAATGTAGGAGGAAAAAGGCCCAAAATATAGGTATTCAAATTTACGTTAAATATAAGAATTAGGTAGATGACTCTGCAGTCTATTCTTAATCCATTGAGCTCAGTAGACTCAAAGATCTTAAAGAATTAGAAACCTGTTTGGTTAAAACAAAATCACAATTTCAGGAGAGATTCTGTCATGGTTTAAGTTATTCTGATTGCCTTCGAAGTGCAAACCGTAAAAAGTTTAGTTCCCTCTCTGGAGAAATTAGCTGTAAGTGAGCTTCACCAAGACAGGCTGTTCTAGAGTATAATATTGTTGGTCTCTTGGAACTTGTTATTCATAGGTTTTGCTGTGTGTCGCTTAATAGATACAAACCAGCAGTTTTATCTTAAAGATCTAGACTTTTGTGAAGATGAGACAGTCTGTTTTAAATATTTGAAATTTTATTCTCTTTTGACATAAAACTAAGGAACACTCAGATAATCTATACCATGTTAGTATTCCTATCAGAGAAAACGGGTAAAACAGTATTTAGAAAGCAGTACCAGTAAATCTTATTACGCATTAGATGTGTTTAAAACGTTGATATTCATTTATAACCTGTAGTTGTAAAATGTATATGACTTAAATATTAAAATCCCACATTTTTTAAGATCTTCATCTACAATTACAAACCCAGATTTTCTGTAGGTTTCACAAACCAGAGAGGTAAACAGAATGTGCAAGAGTCAAAGGATAAACGCATTATAAATATATATTAGTTGTATTACCTAATTAAAACCATAATCTGTTAATACAGCTATGGATTTATTTCAAAAATGTAATTGAATATATTGCTAATAGTGTAGTTGTTGTGTTTTCCAATGTTGGTAGAGTTATTAAAGTTCTTCACTTTCATAGAGTCCAGATTGAGCTGCCAGACGCTGAAACTCTCCTTCAGGGTTAAAAGCTTGTTTCACATCCAAACCTTTCCCATTAAGTGCTAAATATTTGCTGAAAGTTGGTCGGACACGTAACTGCTTAGGAGCTGGAGGAGTTTGGTTTGGACGGGCTGAAATGGATCAAATAAATGTTAATTTAGAAAACTTGTCCTAAACAAATGGGTTGCACTAGGTAGTCATTATCGGACAGGGAGAGAAAAAAAAAATCAAAACTGATTATGTATGGGGAGAATCCTTCAGAATTTATGCTATGCTGGAATTTATGTTTCTTATTAAATCTTTCCAGTTAAGTTCTTTATAACACTTGACATAGCACTGTATAACAGCGTGAGATACCTGTAACATCTAATCTCGTGTTACATGTGGTCACTCCAGCTTCATTAACTGCAGACACAGTATACCACCCAGCGTCTTTCTTGTTTACATCTTTTATCAGTAAAGTAACTCTTCCAGAGTTATCATGATATAAACTGGAAAGAAACAAAAATTGAAAGTAAAGGAATTAGTTTTCCTGTGAGAATTTATTTATGATGCCTATGACCTACAGAGTCAGACTAATAGGAAGAAAAAAGTATTTGGAAATTCTGAGTCTGTAGCTAGTCATTGCCAAATAGCTATGGGTTTTTTTGAATTAAACATCCCCCCAGTCTTGTTTGTATCATATTTCCTTGAGCCATCTTCTTTTATTGTTAGTAAAAAGGTAAATCCTAGCCTACTTTATCCCTTAAATTTCTGATTAGTGGGATCTGGCTTAATGAGGCTTATTATATTTCTATATATATATATATTTTAAAAGTTGAAGTATAGTTGATTTACAATATTGTGTTGGTTTCATCTATATGTTTTTAAAATCAGACAAATTGAGGTCACAGATGCATGCCATTTATAATACATTTAAAAGTATAACTGGATTCACCCAAGTACAGTATAGTTAAGTCTAGAAATACTTATCCTACCTTATTCGATCAGTGTTGAATTGTACCATTTCATTATTTCTTTTCCAGAAAAGCTTTGGTGGTGGTATAGCTGAGATTTGGCATTCTAGCTTCACTGAGTCTCCCTCAAAAACTTTTTTACTCTGTGGTTTGTAGATGAACATTGGTGCTCTTCTATGTTCTTTTGCTACATATTAATAAAAAAATCATGTATTTGAAATATTATAAACAATATTAAGTCAAACCAAAGTATTATGAAGTTTGTATGCTGATATAAAAGTTTAAAAAAGTACTAACGACAGGATTGGAAGCTTTATGTTTCAGCTGTAGTTAAAATAATATGCAATACTGTTGTATATTGTATACTATTTATAGTTCTAAAACAGTAATGTAATGATGCGTTGAATTTATAATCATGTTTCATTGGAAGAATTTAAGTCAAGTTGAGATCATCTCAGCTATAGAGAGGCAGCATGAATGGTGGAAAGAGTACCAGCAACTTGGGTTCGAATTCTGTTTGCCCCACCAGCCATGCCACACTGGGGAAAATTTTGTTTAGTTTCTCTGAGGCTAAATTTTATCTATTGTAAAATGATACCCAAGAAATAGTTACTGCTGTGCCCACCAAAGCACAAAATTATTGTGAGGATCAATTGCGATAATGAATGAAGACGCACTTTGTAAACTATAAAATAATATACAAATGCCAATAATAATTATGTCTTTAGTTTTCTTCAAATACCTGAGGGAAAAGAGGAACTGATACTATAATACTATAACCCTAACTTTTCTGAAGGAGTAAGGAGGAGATTGGACGGATGCCTGTCAAAGTCTTTTTCAGCTCTAACTTTATAGTATTTTGGAGCTATTGGCACAGAAAGGATTTGCCATAAGCTTAATCACTTGGATTTTGTGTGTGTGTGTGTATAAATTCCCAGATCACTAGTTTTTCCCTTAGTCTGAGGGCCCTTATTATATCATAGAATGATCTTAAAGATTTTTCATTCATCTGGGTAAAATACAAACTCAAGATTGCCCATCCTTGAACTTGATTAAGTTTTTATATAATAAGCAGTGAATTATAGCAAAATATTGCTTATGCAGTATATTGTGGCTAGAGTCATTGCAAATGTGATATATTTAGAGCACTTGAATTGTAATATTTTAAGACAGGACATTAGTTTTATGAGAACTGCCCTACTAAAGACAAATATGAGATAAGAGTTTTACCATACTTGTTTTCTAAAGCAAGTAAGCATGTTTTTGTTGTCATAATTAGAGACTAGTTTCCTGGTAAACAGTGCATAGTCTAAGGCTAAAAGTTGACATTTACCCTTCAGTTTTAAACTATGTGTGATTATAGCAATTCTGTGAAAATGTGAGTCAGATTGATTATTTTAGACTGTAGACCAGATAAATGATTAGACTAAAAATTTTCATATGAAGACCCTTTAATCATATCTACAAATACTGTACATCTACTGTACATCTAGAAATATAGCTAGAATATACTACCTCCTTTGGTCTGTCTGAAATTTTACCTTTATTTCTCTTCCAGAAAAGCTTTAGTGGTAGATCTGTCATTCTAGTTTCACTGAGTTTCCCTCAAGAGCACTAACCCCTGCCCACCGTGGCTTTTACATAAAAATTCGTGTTCTACTGGGTTGCATAGTATAGACATTAACCTTAAATATAAAGTCCTTGGGGTTTTTCTTTTTTAACACTTTCTTATTTGATTCTACAAAATTTTAAGGAGCTCTGCAGGATCTCTTTGAAAGCTTACCCAGGACGTCCAGCTGCACAGTAAAGGTGGCTTCTCCTGCTCTATTCTTGGCAACACATGTATAAGCCCCTGCATCTGAAGCTCTGACCACTTCGAAGATGAGTGAATGAAAACCCTTTTCAGACACTATCATTTTGTGAAAATCATCTGATTGAACTGGTTGTCCGTTTAGATACCATGACACATCAGGAGCTGGTAGTCCACTAACCTAGAAATGAAAACACAAGGAGATAGAATTTTACATTATAGATCACTGGGACCCATTTGTCCATTTATGAATTTTAACAGTTCAGTATCTGAGTGGGTTTGTGATTGAAAATGCAAAACAAGAGCTTAAAAGATATTTTCTTTCAATAATTTTTAACAAAATAGTAAAAACTATAACACTTGAAATTAATACAGTATTTTCATACTATCTGAAAACACATCTAGCTCTTTTGTAAACAACCTCAGGCTCCTTAAGATCTCTTAATTACTATATTAAGGACGTTAAGTTATCTTATATTGGTCTCCACAAGGAATATGGAAGT